TGTAGAATTCAAATCTGTACTCAAAAATGACATTCATAACCTCAAAACCCCTTAAAATTGAAAAAATAGTTTAAAAGACCATGAAAGTAAAAAAATAAACATGTTCGTATAGCTCAAATTGGCAAATATTGTATGTTCATCGATACACCCTAATACAACTTTTGATAGAGTTTTGTAACTGAGTCATCATTATAGACATTTTGGCTCTTCACAAGCTACCAAATTGTCTATAATGGTGACTCAGTTACCAAACTTTATCAGAAGTTTTATTTTGACGTACCGATGAACATATTACAATATTGGCTAATTTGAGGTATACGAACATGTTTATTTTTTTACTTTCATGATCTTTTACACTATTTTTTTAATTTTAAGGGGTTTTGAGGTTATGAATGTCATTTTTGAGTACAGATTTGAATTTTACATCAAATTTTATATGAAAAAACATGGCTTAAAAATTTTTTCACAAGCACCCCAAAAAAACAGAGTAACAAGCAGAATATCCTCAAAACATGAAAATCCAACTTTGAGCCCCTGTAGATCCATGAGGGTTGGACCTAGGGGGCTGCGGTGTTCAGGATTTTCATTTTTCATTGTATTCTTGAAGAGTAAATGATTCGTTTCAACTTCATTTTTTTGGCCTACAATACCTGTTGTGAAATAGCCCATATACTTTTCAAAAATGTAATAAAAAAAAATCGGTTTTTTGAAAATTTTTCAGGTAGCAAATCCCTTGAAGAGCTTACGGCAAAGCGTCGTTGATTGGTCGATCAAAGAGCATCTATGGGCATTCATCCATCAACTTGATCTCTTGATCAGGAATTGGAAGGGCGATTATCCGAATCTCCGGGAAATCTTTCAGCCCGAAGAAATCGATCTTCTCCTCTCGGCAGCCTTGATGTTCGTCGAGGGCTTTACATAATCGAGCGATTGTTCGACATTTACAACGAGAATTACATCGACGTCGAGTCTGGATTGTCGCAGTTTCATGTGGCCTGCAGGCGCGGCTTAGAAAAAATCGTCGAGTTATTCCGGGAGCTCGGCCAGGCCGATCCCAATGTCCTCGCGGAAAAGACGCTGGACTCGCCGCTGCACTTGGCCGCGGCCGGGGCCTGCATCGGCGTCATGCGGATGCTGCTGAGGAGAGGCGCAGATCCCGGCTTGGCCAACGCGGATGGATCGACTCCCATGCACGTGATCTGCCGCAAAGGCGACTGCGACGGTCAGGCGGAGATTTTGCTCGAGCTCTGTAGGGACGAGTATCTGCCGCTGCCGCTCGACGCCCGGACGAGCTCGGGCGAAGCGGCGCTGCACGAGGCTCTGACCAGAGGTCACTGGAGGATGGCCGAGTTTCTGCTGAAAAACGGGGCAGATCCCAATCTGGCCAATGGAGCGGGAGAGACGGGCTTGCATATCGTTTACAGGAGGGAGCGCGGTTCTCGTTGCTTGGTTAGCAAGTTGTTCGAGGCCTGCAAAGACGTCGGACGGACGCTGGATGTCAACGCCGAGCAGTCGAACGAATTCAGAGGGAACTCTCGAGTCTTCACGTTATTGCCTCGGCGGTAGCCCACGACTTTTTGGCCGACAAATTTTTCCAGATCCTGTCAGAGTCACATCGGCCGTTGCGAGTCGATGCACAGGATAAATTAGGTAACACACCGTTGCATGTGGCACTGGCCAACAACAACAGAAGGGCGGCTGAAGCATTGCTTAGAAGACAGGCCGACCCTAATCTGGGCAACGATGAGGGATATACCGCTCTGCACGTCATATGCAAGAGAGACAAGGACGACGGCTTGCTCAGGCAATTTTTCAAGATGATCGACGCCGTCCAGACGACAGTGGAGGTCGATGCCCGAGACAAGGAGGGCAATACGCCGCTGCACTTGGCTGCCGCCGGTGGCTCTTTGATATTGGTCAAGTTGCTGCTGAGAAGAGACGCTGATCCCAACGCATACAACGATA